AAAAATGTAGCGTTAAACGTTTAAAGCAAACTTGTTAAAAGTCGCATAAGAAGTATAACTTCAAAAAAATTGTCTTCATCGCCCGTTAAAGGCGACAGCTGTGTAAATAATGATTAAAATTCCATTATTAACTCATTAATATTCGGCATCAAAAACACGAAATAATTGTGGAAGTACAATATGCAATTACTAAAAGCGAACAACTTAACCCTTCATTTTCAAACTGTACTTCAACGTACAAATTTCATATTTTCAAAAGAAAGAAAATACAGTTGGTTGGTTGAAATATTGTACCATTTGGGCTTGTTCAATGCTAAAGTGGTAGATAGCAGAAAGAAATATCCAATTGGTATGCATAAATATGAGCTAACACTTTTTCCATGCAAATGTGTTTCATTTATTGACTACTTTTTCATCGGGACATAAATGGATGAAGTGGAGACAAATTTCCCTGCCTGTAGTTGAACTACTATAAAATGTTGCTTAGACTAATGCATACCCTCCAACTAGAGCCCCTGAATTAGACAAGCCGACTCATCATCTTTGCTCCAAAGAGCTAACATAAGCACAATACTAACATAACGTTAACTTGCGAACTTTTTTGCTCCAATATTGCTTGATAGGTCAGCTCTGATAGTATAAGAGCCTTACCTCCAACAACTAAGGAATTTTCATAATTTAAGATAATGTTTTTAGTGGTAATAATCTTAATGTACTATAAAACCCATTCAGGACAATATTTTCAAAAACTTGTTTCAAAACGATAAAGACTGATAATCAGTTATTGTGTTTATGAAATTTTTCTTGAAAAAAACAAAAGACAATCGTTCACCAAAATATATGTAGGGTTGTAAATAAATATGTTTTAACCCCTTGGGCACGGATGATTCAGAAAAGCATTCGTACAAAATCAGAATCAGGATGTAATTAAATAAAAAACGGTAGCTTAAATGTAGTCGTTGCTAATTTGACAGACTTACTTTGCTTTTACTTTAATTATTGTTAGTTTAATCACATATATAATCTACGTTAATTCAAAGTATAACTAAATAGTTTTATTTTGAACCAAGTAATGGTGAATTAAATAGATCAAACAATTATAATTCCGCCCACAAATAAACTGCTAAAGAATTACTTTGATTACCAGTTTTATCTTTTTACCCTGGTCGATACGGTTTTATGCTGGCACGTATTTGTGACAGTCGGCGCGAAAGGGTTAATTGATGTAAGATTAGATTATTGCATTATATCAACAAAAAAAAAAGGTAGACAGCACTAAAAATTAAATTAAACATAAATAATTCACCACTTTTTAATTTATTCGCTACTATATATACTTTCGAGGGTCACTAAAAACATCTATATCAACTAAATCTGTGTTATAATTACATACCTGCCTACTTTTAATCCTTTCGAGGACGATTTTCCTCAGTGGTAATAAAATGGAATTACAATTCCAGGCAGAAACATACGCTGTATTGTGAAAGAGCTTATGCGGACTACCACAACGGTATTACATATTAATATATATGCTTAATTTTTTTAAGAATAGCATGGCTGAAAGCCCTTATATAGCAAGACGGAAAAGATGAAAAACTGGTACGCAACATATTTTATTATAGCATTTTTTCCGAGAAAAATAAAATATCTGTAACTACCAAGATTTCTTTAAGATTTTAACATATATAGAAATCTGCTTCGTCTCCCATGATAAAATAGATAATGTTAAATCGTTTAATGAAAGCATAAGTTAACTCCTCCCAAAAACTAGCAATATCTGAAATGGTTTCACTACCAGCCTTTTATCTCTTCCGTCTCGCTTTCACCCCTGGAACAGTGATGATAAAAAAGATTATAAATTAAGTTTATAAATGCAGGGAATATATAGAAAGCATACATTTTACTACCACTTTAAATATAGAAATAAAATTTTACGCCAAATGCGTAAAAGTTGGCAGGTATGTAATTGTTAAAGAGATGAAAACTTGCTCCGGACAGTGAATAAATATTTTCGAGTGGTAGTCATTTAATGCATGATTCTTTGTTTAGCAAATTTGATATGTAGAATTTTTACTCACGACTGTTTCTAAATAATCCAAAGGCTTGTACGATATGCCAATATTTTACAGTTAAGTAGTATTCAGCCTTAACAAAAATTCGAAAAAATAATCGAAATTTTGCAGATTTTAGTTTGTAGTTTTCCACCGTTTTTTAATGTATTTTATTGAATCTGGAGCAGGTGGCATCTCTGCTGTTAAAAAAGTCTTGGTAGTCATAGTTTAATTTTCCTACAAATAAGCAACAATTACATAAATTTACTAGGTACCACTCTTTTTTTCTTTCTTCATTATATATATATATATATATATATATATATATATTTATGTATATATA